CGAACGCCAGTATACCATAAATGATTCAACTCATGTATGAGTGGCTGAAGAAATACATCGAGAGCTTGCTTCGGATGATTTGGACCTGGAACCAAAATACTTAGGAAAAGAAATTCCCTTTGCATGCACAAATATGGAGGAAGGTTATAAGGAGTTAGGATTACTGGCCATAATGAATATTGTCTACCAGACATACCAAATGGACTAAAACCATCAGTGCACAGACCAAGATAGACATTCCGTTTGAACTTAGCAAAATTTGGGTATACCATATTGAAGTGTTTCCATGCCTTTGCATCTGATGGATGAAGAACTTCTCCATCTACTTGTGTATGTTCCGCATGCCATCTCATTGATGCAGCTGTCCTTTCAGATTGATAAAGTCGTTTTAACCTATCAGTTATAGGGAGATACCACATACGTTGGTACGGTATCCTTTTACGCCCACCAATTTGCGGCCTGTATCTTGGTTTTTGGCAAAATCGACATTCCTCCAGCTGATCATCATCTTTCCAAAAAATCATACAATTATCAACACATACATCTATCATCTCAGAAGGTAGACCAAGACTAAAAATCAACTTCTGAATTCCATAGTATGTTCCCGCTGCCAAGTTATCCTCCGGTAGATACTCCTTCAGAAGATCAGCCCAATCATCCATGCAAACCTCAGCCAGGTTATGATCTGTTTTAATTGACATCATCCTAGCTGCCAACGATAATTTAGACAAGCCTTCTCTACATCCTTCGTAGATTGGCTGATTAGCATTGTCTAATAAATCATAAAATCGTTTGGCATCTACATTAGGTTCCTCAACAGCATTACCCGTATGCGTTTCATGAAATGCATCAGTCACCATTTCGTGCATCCTATCATGATCTACACTTTGGTCATATTGATACTGATTAGGCTGATGACCATAATTCGATTCATCAATATCAACATGACTTTGATAATTACTACTACTACCAGCATTCCCATGAGTATTACTGCGATATCCTTCTCCATGTAGATACCAAACAAAATATTGCGGCATAAACCCTCTATTTAATAAATGCGTTCACACGGTTTTGGTTAGTGTATACCTCGTATTCTTGCATTTCAAACAAGGACAAAACATCTTCCCACTATCTTTAGTTCTCTCCATATTTGTAGCCTGATACATAAATATTTCTAACCCGTTCTTGAACTCTTCTGTCAACGCCCCATCTGAATCTTTACGCATATACATCCAACTTCTTAGCTCGTATATAGACATCTTGAAAATAAACTCAAAATACTATCTCTTTTTATTGATTAGATAATTGTGTCACGATCTAGCCACCTGGATGGAGTAAATTAACCTTATAATATTATTACTTCTTCCTTTCAAAGTAATATAACTCTTACTTCGGGTTTCCAGCAATGGACAACCCAATATATAAGGATTTACAACACTATACTAAAATTTAAGAGACCAGTTCGTGAAGCGTAAGGACTTCTATAAGAGAGTTGGTAAAGCTTGGAAGAGAGGATACTTGTTGTATGGTCCACCAGGCACAGGAAAGTCAAGCTTGATCGCAGCCATGGCTAACCATCTCAACTTTGATATTTATGACCTAGAGTTGACTGCGGTTAGCAACAATTCTGAGCTGCGACGATTGTTGATTGCCACTGCTAATCGTTCAATACTTGTTGTGGAAGATATCAATTGTTCCATTGAATTGAAAGATAGGTCAACTGATGAACTTCCTCAAGAATCAGACGAGCCTAATGATCCACGGTACAAAAAGGTAACACTCTCTGGATTGCTAAATTTCATAGATGGTCTGTGGTCAAGCTGCGGCGACGAACGGATCATAATATTCACAACCGATTACAAAGAGAAACTTGACCCGGCGTTGTTGAGGCCAGGACGCATGGATATGCACATTCACATGTCCTACTGCACGCCAAGTGCTTTCAAGGCACTTGCTTTGAACTATCTGGAGATCAAAGATCACCACCTTTTCAATAAGATCGAGGAACACATTGAGACAACAGAGGTTAGTCCAGCAGAGGTCGCAGAACAGCTGATGAGGAATGACACTGTTGATAAGATTCTTGAAGGTTTGATTGAGTTCTTGAAAGTCAAGAAGATCGAAAACGAACAAGTTAAGGCCAAAAAGGAAGAGCAAGAACTGAAGAACAAAGAAAAGGCCATGATCAAGGGCACAGATTCGAAGGTCAAGAAAAACGAAGAGGTGGATGAACAAGTTATGAGGAATGACCGTGTTGATAAAGTTCTTGAGGGTTTAGTCGAGTTATTAAAAGCCAAAAAAAGCCAGAACGATCAAGATTAGGCCAAACATGAGGAGGCGAGTAACATTAACTTCTGAGATTTTGAAAAGATTAACGAGATAAAAGTCCTTGTTAAATAATATGAGTTTCATTGTTAATCACTTGATCTAATATTACAAAATAAGCAAAGTTATGGATCCAGTGATGAAAAAGCTACACATGGAAAAAATAATTAAATATGGATCAGACTATTAAATTTCCAATTCGATCAGATTATCGAAAACTCAGAAAGTAAATCATAATCTTAGCACAAACCCGAAGAGATGTAGCAATTCCAACTTAACTCATCATTGTACAACTTCATAACCACTCGATAAAAACATACAAAATTGAAAATAAATACAGACTTGAAAATAAAAACATGTACAAAATTAGAAAATAAATACAGAATTATAAAAACATGAACCAAATATTTTCTAATTTTTTTCTTTTTTCAAAATGTTTTTCTACACTCTATAATATATTGATTACAGTAAGTTAAACTAGAGATATTTGAATTAGAATTGGGAAATCGAACACATGAAATTAAACCAAGCGTCACTAAATGGAAGATTAGGAGAGTGTAGGGGTATCGATTTTTCACTTTTCACTATATTTATAAAATGGGCCGTAATCGTGGCCCACGATACACAATTTTTTTACTGATCCATCCCCAATTAAATCATCTTCTTCATCCCAAATTCTCTACCGCCCTAATTATCTCGTCTTTACGATCAGAGGTGTCGTGTGAAAGAAAGCTTAGTGATCGCAGAGGCCCTTCTAGGTTCGACCACCCAAAAAAAGAGTAGAACTTGGTATCAAATTATCTCACAATTTTTTTTTAATTGTTAGAATTGGAAATTTTTATGTTCATAATCGAAAGCGTAGAATCGTCTGATTAACCTCGTAGTTTATGTCTGTAAAACATGGACCTGTACGCAATCTAATACATACCCAGTACTATTGTCTGAAAAAAAAAATTGTTTCTTCTTTTTTTTGTTAAAAAATAAAAAAAATTTGGGGTTAATTTCTTGTTTTATGTGAACTGACTGGTTTTATTTACAACATTTTGATAAAGACTGAAGGAGATGAGTTCCTCTGCTTCATCATCGGCCGAATCTCATCTAGCCACCGCCAAAACAGCTCTCACGGCGGTTGCATCGGTGGCTGCAGCCGCAATGCTAGCTCGATCAGTGGTTCAAGACTACATGCCAAGTGAGGTCCATGAGTTTATCTCTTGTGGATTTCGCAGATTCTTCGGCTACTTCTCTTTTCAAATGACAGCTGTGATCGAAGAATTCGGAGGTTTTGAGAACAACGAATTGTTCGAAGCAGCAGAGGCTTATCTCGCCACCAAGATATCACATTCCACTAGAAGAATCAAAGTGAACAAACTCGAGAAACAGAGCAATCTAAACGTCACCGTAGAACGCGACGAGGAAGTCGTGGATTACTTTGATGGCGGAGTCAAGCTCACTTGGATCCTCCACGTCGATAAAAAGGACTTTCGTAACCCTCGTGATCTCAACTCAACTCTGAAATCGGAAGTGCGTTTCTACGAGCTCAGGTTCCACAAGAAATTCAAGAACTTGGTTCTTGAATCTTACTTGCCCTTTGTGGTGAAACAAGCCGCTTCGCTGAGACAAAAGACCAAGACTTTGAAGATCTTCACACTAAACTGTTACTCGGCGCAGTGGACATCTGTGACTCTTGACCATCCTTCCACGTTTCACACTCTCGCCATGGATCCTGAGGTGAAGAAAGACTTGGTAGAGGATCTTGATCGTTTTGTGCAGCGTAAAAGCTTTTACAAGAGAGTAGGGAAAGCTTGGAAGAGAGGGTATTTGTTGTATGGTCCACCAGGTACAGGGAAATCAAGCTTGATCGCAGCCATGGCCAATCATCTTAACTTTGATATCTAAGACTTAGACTTGACAGCAGTTAACAGTAATGGTGAGCTCAGGAAGATATTGATGTCTACTGCGAACCGTTCGATTCTGGTTGTGGAAGATATTGATTGTTCGATCGAGTTCAAGGATCGGAATACTGATGAGCCTTCACAAGTATTTCATGATAGCAATGATCCGCTGCATAAACCGGTGATGCATTTTGATTCACTATCACTAATGTTTTGAAAATGTGTATGTCTTAGCTCATAAATGATGCTTATTTCTAACTAATTTGGTTGGTCATTTTTCTTCAGGTCACACTCTCTAGTCTATTGAATTTTGTAGACGGGCTCTGGTCAAGTTGTGGGAACGAGCGGATTATAGTGTTCACGACTAACTACCGAGAAAAACTGGATCCGGCGTTGTTGAGGCCAGGACGTATGGACATGCACATTCACATGTCGTATTGCACACCGGCTGCTTTTAAGGTTCTGGCTTTGAATTATCTCGAGATTCAAGACCATATGCTTTTCAAGCAGATTGAGGAATTGATCCGGGAAATAGAAGTTACACCAGCAGAAGTAGCTGAACAGTTGATAAGGAAATGACTCTGTTGATAAAGTACTCCAAGGATTGATTGTGTTCTTAAAAGCCAAGAAAACTGAAAATGATTAGGCTTATCTATTGGTTACAATCTAACTGAAAGTGAAATTAATACTTTTTTGGGTTAATTTAAAATATTGAATTTTATCAATGAATCCTATCCACAAGGGCCCATTGGGGTTCAATGATTTGATGCTAAAGCCGATTGAGAGTTGAAACAAGTTTCTTAGTCGGTAGCAAGTAACCAAGAAAACGAGTATAGTTGACTGTTGACTTGTAATTGTTAAACCATTGACTTCCATTTTGATAAAGTTTCTTGTACGCTCATTCCTGAAACCAAGTTGCACAGTAGAACGAATCAAAATATCCAAAGATCAAAAGCTTCAGATCCTATCGGTTCACTCATTTCCTTGTAAGTGTTAAAGATGGTTACTTTGGTTTATATTCATCCCGATTTTCTAGGATTTAGACATGTTTCTTGAGAAAATACGGATTGGTCAAGAAAATCCCATCTTGGGTTAGTGATTTTTATAGTCCGTTGGTTGATTGGTTTCTGAAAAGTCCGATCTTTTGATACTTACATAACCTGATTGAATGATCGCTTCCAGGTCTGAGAAATGGTGGATGCTGTAGTGACAGTGTTTGGAGAAAGCCCTGAACATCCTCGAAGAGAAAGGCCGAGTTGTGTCGGAATATAGAAAACAGTTGAAAGATTTGCAAGATGAGTTGCAATATATGCAGTCTTTTCTCAAGGATGCAGAGAGGCAGAAAAGAACAAACGAAGTGTTGCGCAAACTCGTGGCAGACTTGAGAGAACTGGTTTACGAAGCTGAGGATATACTAGTGGATTGTCAGCTCGAGGATGGTGATGAGGATGATAACGAGCAAAGGGCTTCAAACGCGTGGCTTTCTCGGTTTTATCCCGCCCGAGTTTCACTTCAGTACAAGAAAAGCAAGCGTCTCAAAGAGATCAACGAGCGAATAAAGACGATAAAGACTACAGTTGAGCCTTATTTCAAGTTCAGAACGCCGAGCAACGTTGGAAGAGACAATGGAACTGATCGGTGGAGCTCTCCGGTGTATGATCATACTCAGGTGGTTGGTTTGGAAGGAGATAAAAGAAATAAGGAAAGTTTATGTTCTGAACTTGTATGTATCAGTGAAGAAAATGGAACTGATCGGTGGAGCTCTCCGGTGTATAACTTACGAACAAAGGGCTTCAAACGCGTGGCTTTCTCGGTTTTATCCCGCCCGAGTTTCATTTCAGTACAAGAAAAGCAAGCGTCTCAAAGAGATCAACGAGCGAATAAAGACGATAAAGACTACAGTTGAGCCTTATTTCAAGTTCAGAACGCCGAGCAACGTTGGAAGAGACAATGGAACTGATCGGTGGAGCTCTTCGGTGTATGATCATACTCAGGTGGTTGGTTTGGAAGGAGATAAAAGAAATAAGGAAAATTTATGTTCTGAACTTGTATGTATCACATTTCAATGAATAACTTACGAACATAAAATTAATGTATGTATTCATAATAATATAAATTATAATTAGGTATGTATAATGAAGAAAATGTAGATGAAGAATACATGTAATTATGAATACATACATTAATTTTATGTTCGTAAGTTATTCATTGAAATGTGACATATATGAACATATTTTAAAGATTATATGCGAAGATGTATTCATTTATTTCGAAATGTATCTTTATTTGGAAATTGTGTAAATCTGTTATTTAATATTTTTAATTATAAAAGACTTTTGCGGAATATGAAACACAGCAAAGAAAAATGAGGAATCACTCTCTACGAATTCTATAAATACACACCATAAGAGAATTTTGATCAACTAACCAAGCAAACAATTACTCACTCAAACACAACCCATACTATAATTATTCTTCTGATGTGATCCTCACACAGACGTACAAAAAATATGTTTACATGAAAGAAAAATACATGTTTTCCTACATAATATTTCTTGTACATCTGTGGAGAATCACATCAGAATAAGTAGTTTTATTCATTGTGTCGCCATAGAGTTATTGTAATTATATTACTTGTGAATGCTCACTTTCGACAGGAAGTATACTGTTAGTACTTTATACCAAATTCTGGATAGAGTATTGACAGTATACTTATTGTAGAGTGAGATACAAGTAATTTTGCTCAGTAAGTAATGAGAAATGTATACCACTTTCCATAAATATTTGCTATTATTGATTTTTTATTAGTCACTGATATTTTTTGAAAAAAACTGTCTTTGCTTATGTAGAAAATTTTTATTTACATCGAATGAGATCCAATATTGTGTAAGAAATACAAACCTTTTAATTAAAATTTTAGAATTTGAACTATAACGATTTTCCAAATATGTAGGATTGTTAGGTTTATTATTTCTCATCGCAGCAATTATCTAAAATAACAACAAATCACATTTTTCTATATTATGTATTTCAGTTAAATTTGAAATTTAAAAAGTTGTTCAATTTTATCAGAGATTTCCAAAATTTGAGATATAATTTATCATATTAACAACTAAGTTACGACTAATCCGCATCAACAATACTTTAAACTTACAATGATAACAGTTTATTAACTAAATTATAAATTATAAGTTACGGTATATTTAATGAAATGTTAATTGGTTGACTGTTGTATTAATTATGTAATATGTAACAGTTGAAAATGTAGTATTTAGTAGATGATTTACCTTAGTATTTCATATATTCAACATAAAAAGTATTGTAAAAAATGAAGACGATGAAAAACAACAGAATGAAAGTAACTTATTGAAAAAAAAAATCAGCATGCAATTTTAAAGCTAATATTAAGAAAGACATATAAATCTAATTGACCGGGAATAAACCCATTGCATAGCAAGCTTCTCTGAATGTGTCGTATACAACACCATTAACTGTTCGGATCTCTTTATAACTGCGATGACCTCTAATGATATTCAACAGACAACCCAAATAAAAAATTTTCCCATCATAAATTGAATACTGTTGAAGAATAGTTGGATTTCCTGAACCCTTTACCCGTGGCCTCCACTCATGCAATGTGGAATTCAGACAAATTGATGAGATAGTTCAGTGTAGAGCAAGAATCTAGCAGTTGCGTATATCTTGTTACACTCCATCCAAGCAATAAATTTTGTATTTTTCATTAGTTTGTCTACCTTGTTTCGCTTGGAAGAATTTGTTCTTGGTAGATGAAATTGAATAATTTCTGAAAACAATCATAAAGAACTTGTTAAAACAGTTAAAAGGAAACAAAAAATGTATGATAAGAAGTTATAAAGAGTAATTATAGTTCTATCAAAAAGATTCTTAATAGAATAAAGTTGGATGCAGAAGGCTTACCTATCCTGTTTATAGCAGTAGAAATGGAGAATATTGAGAATTTTTATTCAGTGTAACAAATGAAGTTGCAGTTCACAAAAGTATGATGTGAATATATAGATGGATTAAATAGGCATACACGAATATACGAATACGTTAAAGATTGCAATATGCATCTGGTTATAGAAAGTAATAACAATATATCAATATCCTTTATATTATATTTTTAAAAAATCCCGAATATATGGTTAGATAATTCAACTTAAACATAATTGCTTTATAAGAATACTAGTTCGAAATTATCGGAGCACAATATTATGTTACCATATATTGCGGTTTAAATCAAACTGTAAAGAGAAAAATCCAAACTTTTCAATATTTTTTTATGAGCTAAGTTGTGTGAATTGGACGAAGAAGACTTGTGTAAATATTATGTCCATTTATCAAAAGCAAAAGTAAAAAAAGTCAAACTGGTTGGTTGAAACAGTATTCCCAAGAAAACATAGAAATTTGATGATATTGAATATTTTTTAACTACCATATCGTATATAAAATAAGAGTTTGCTTCGATTATAAACATACTTCTAAAATTTACTCTGCAACCCTAAACGCCTGATAAGAGATTAGACAAAAATAGAGAATCATCAAGAAAAACGTTATGATGAAAACGGATTACTAAAAATTAATCCACCACCATTGAACATGAGATTTGGTGTGGAAGAAACACCATCACCTCCTCCAATTTCTGAATCAGAGATGGAGCAAACTAATATGTGTGAAGAGATGAATGACTTTCTGAGCAAATCAACTGCGAAAGCCATCGAGGTTCCTTCTGAGGTAATTTAAACTTTAAATTATTCCGTTTTATTGATGATTTCTGTATTAATGGATGTTTATATCAATATGTAATATCTGCAGCTTGATGAATAAAATTCGACTGATGATCCAAAGGAACGTTGCAAGAATGGAAAACACGATCTCCATCTAGATCTGGAGATAGGTTTGAAATGTATAGAATGCGCTTTTGTTAAGACAGAAATCTGCTACCTAGATACATCTCCGTGGGTAAGCTGTTAATACTCCATTAGTACATTGATTTGTTTAACTAATATGTTTGAAGTTAACTACATTATATGTTTTGAATCTTATAGGCACATAAGAATAAACGTGGAAGGAGAAACTTCGGAGTTTAGCTAAAATTATCTCTGTTTTTTTTTTGGTTTTTTTTGTACCTTAATTATCTTGAATAAAATAAAAAATAATTATTCTCCCAATTCACTTTCTCATATATGTGTATTGATTCGTAAGATTATAAGCTCATATGCTACATTGATTATAATCCACAAACATTGAAACATCGATATTTATATAATATTTAACACTCAATTTGAAAGGTAATGAGAAAAGCTTAATGGCAGTTGTCAGCACTGAAATGCAAACGTCAATCGGAATTAATTTAAAATTACTCTTACACATAAAGTTGTTAACAGATCAATAGTGAGCATTGGACCAAAAAAAGATCAATACTGAGTATTGGATGAAATTGCGTAAGAAACGTTATAGTTGCATCGCGTGACATGATTATAAATAAGAAAATTTATAAAGGCTCGTAATAAATGTAATGTCGTAGTCTACTTACATAAATTGTTATGGTACTAAATTTGGCATATTATGAAAAATGGCCGTTAAAATATTGTAGTAGTATAATTTGGCAATGTCTTGTTATTATGGAAATGTAAAATATTGGATGGAAGAAAATGTCTATAAAGGAAGTAACATTTCTAAAATCAAATAAATTCTATATATAGATGGTATATGTTATATCCAAAACTATACATATATACATGTAGAATATATAAACATAAATACATGATATTAAAGGACATAAGTAAATTGACAATTAAACATTACCATAAATAAATACTAAATATTTCATTACAAATATACGAAAGTATGTTCAAATCCATCCCAGTTTTATGGGAAAATATTACATAATAGGAATGTTTAACAGTTACAGGAAAATATAAGTACATAGGGATTAAAGTTATGGCCAGCTCAGATCTCCATGGATATCGGTAAAAGGAAGTCTGACAGAAAGTAATTTCAAGTTAACAATTGAAAAAAAATTAAAATAACCCATAAAACATATTATATATATTAATACCAATTAGAAAAATTATCAGTCAAGATAATCAGAAACCTCTTTTATGTGAGGATTGAAAAGTATTTCAAAATGGTCTCCAACATTCCTTATGCGATATCTCCCTGTATAATTTTAAAATATAAAGGGCACAAATGTTAGAAGCCAAATTATCATATAAACAAATTGGAAATGAATGTTTCCACTCGATTATAAAATTTAATTACTAACCTTCAGAATCATAGGTCAGACAAAACATGCGCAAAGTCAAGACTGCTTCATAAGTACCTATATCTTCCCACTTCTTCCAGAAATCCAGAGCAGTCTTTCCAATGAGTTCGATGTCCATATCAACATAACTAAACCAACAAATTATATTACAACAACATTAACCAAAATATAAATACTCAGAATTATAAGACAAATTATTGGTCTTTACATATATAGATGATAATATAAAATATCTGACTTCATGTCCCTTATCTGAATGTCCAGTTTGTGAAAAGGTCCAAAAATCATCTCATAGGGGTCATCAATGTCAGTACTTAGTTCATCATCAACATCGATGATTACGCCGATCAAGTCTACAAAGAAACATTTTCATTACACAATATTTATAACCCTATATATTAAATTGAATAAAGGTGAGAAGCCTAACCGATAGAGTACTCAGTAGAGAAATTCCCTCGGATAATGGCATAAAATGGCATAAAATCCATCATATGCTTAGGATTGACTTGAAAGGTCTTGTCTACAACAGTATCGGCGTTCATGTTGATGAAGTGGTAGTTTATAGTATTTCTGAAAGATCCGAACGCATCGACAACATTGAAGAATTTGACATAATTCCATTCTCCTTCTTTAAACTTTGGACCGAGGGAAGAAATAACATCCTGATCAATCGATACCTTTATTTTGTAACCCTAAATTCGTGAACCAAATAATCATTTCAAAGATTCATGTGTTTAAAATGTTCATAACATGCAACAGAATAAAAAAAACTTCGAAAGATGAACTTACATTTTCGTCACCGAGGATAAGATGCAATTCCTGGCGTTGATTACGGTAGTTGAATTGTTTCCAAACTCATA